AATGCGGAAATCATTGGACAATCTCTTTGATATCTCAAGCAAGTAAAGTTTTGCTAAAGGTAATACAGAAACGGCTACAATTCATACATTGACAGAGAACTTCCAGAGGTTCAAGCTGGATTCAGAAGAGGTTTTCATTATAAACCAATTTATTCTTTGGCTGAAAGGGGACCTGTAGAAATAGCTCCAACTCCCAAGTTCTAAAGGTGTGGTAGGGTGATAATCTCTGGATTTCTCTAGTCTCGACTGGTTCAGTAGGTCTGGCTTTTTTTTTTTTCCCCCTTTTCTTTTTAGGTATTTGAGTTTTAATTTACATTTTCCTCCCATTCTACCTTTTATTGTGGGTGGTCAGCTTTTGAAAATTGCACAGAGGCAGTGGGCCTGTATAGTATAGAGTGTGTCTGTGGTTTATGAATATGTAACTATATGTGTGTACTCACAGAAGGGTTTTTTGGGATAAATCTGATTTAAAAATATGACTTGAGGGATGCAGACGATCAAGTACTTCACTATTAGCTGAAGAGCTGCTAGTCTGAGCTTATCCAGAGCTACCTCAGAAGACAGGGCTGGCATTCTGCTTCCCAGAAGTTTGTCCCAGCCTTGAAAGCTATGAAGCAGGTGTACTCTGCACATATGGAGTGGCCATAAGTAGAAATTAACTCCAGGGCAACTAACAACCAATCTTATTTTTTTTTTTTTAGGTTTCTGTTAAAATGAACCGATTTAATTGTCTATAATAAGACATAAAGGGGTCCTAGTAGCTTAGTGGGTTATGAGTTGGGTTACAAACTGCAAGGTCAGCAGTTAAAATCTACCAGCTGTTTCCTTAAAGATTTGTATTTGTTGTTGTTGTTAAGTGTCACAGAGTCGGTTCCTAACTTGGATCTGTTTTCCAAGGAACAGCTGTTAGGTCTGAAATGTCGACCTTAGGGTTAGTGGTCCAGTGCTGATCCTACAGCACCCCACCAGGACTCATAAGAATTTACAATCTTGGAAATCTAGGGTAACTATGAGTTGGAATTGACTGCAATGCACACATCTACCGCCATCACCATAATAAGACATGTAGGATAAACACTGGACTGCTAACCACAAAGTTGGAGGTTTAAACCTACCTTGGAAACCCTAATACAGGATCATTATGAGCTGGAACCAACTTGACAGCACTTAACAACACAACAATAATAAACATAGTTAACACCTTTTCCAGAGGTACTTTTACATTTGACAGAATTTTATATGATCATATAACTTAATGTAATATGTATCTGATGTCATTTATTTAATACTCTTGTATTTCCAAAGTCCAACATTCGGTAGAAAGTCACACATCTTGTGGCATAACTTCTGAAACTAAGAAACAGCTAATTCTATACTTAAGGATGAAAAGAATCTCTGCAGGATTCCTTTATATTTATTATCTCTAGTCTAAGACGTGTTGGCAGTTTTAAACCTTCACAGATTATGGATCCGTCCTGCTCCAGAACTTTCCTGGGAAACTGATGGGGCTCGATGAGAATTCTATCATTTTGTTTATTCATTTAGAATATAGTTTTGAAAATAAATATCTCTTTACTCTTTAATCCCTCTAATGTTTCCACACAGTAAAACAAATATCGTCTTTGAACTGAAGTTCAGAGGCAAAGCGTAAAACAGGACTGAGTAACGTCGTCAGGTGTTTCGGACACTGTTCATAAGGCAGTGAGGAAAGTGCATGCCTTCCTGAAGATGAGGGGAAACCTATCAAAGACACATCTCTGTGCACATAAAGCCATTCAGATGGGGTCACAGCATTTGGAGTAATAAAGAATCTGTTCTGTATTTGATTGACAAGGATCTTGAATTCAGACAAGAAAGTCAATAGATTAACTTTTTAAAATCTGGCACAGAAGAAAATAATCCTCATATCAATGAAGATTCCAGCTTAATTAAAAACACCAGTTGACAGATATGATAAGACTAACTAATTTAAAGAAAATGGAGGCGAAAATACAGGATAACAGACTTGAATAACAAAGAAATAGTACTGGAAGTTTTTTAAGCACTGGCTCCCTTCTCTATTGCTCAAAGTCTCTACAGTGCTTCAGTGATCCACACTTAACCTTTGTTAATTTTATCTTAGAGATGAAATTCTAAGAACTAGCTAATAAAAATATGTGTTTTAATCCAAATGCAAAAAGCCCTCTATTAGTAAATATTTAGATGAGCTTACCACTTCATCTTCTGTATCCAATATTTCCTCTAGATCTGCTCGTGAAATGTTCAAGATAGAAGCTGCCAATGACTGGGCTTTACGGGTTGAGATTTTAGAAGCAGTCCTGTTTGTCTGCACTTTTTTAAGCTCTCTGATTTGTCGCCGAATCTTCTGGACATCATTCTGTAACTCCTGGACCAAAGCCTACAAAGTAATGGAAAGAATAGCGGCTCACATGGAAGTCATAAAGACAAAACATTCATATCATTCAAATGTGAAGGCACTAGTGGTATCATTTTCTTAAAATTTTAAAATATATTCAGGGTAGAAAACCAAGTGGATTTCCCTAAACTTTTGAACAGTATGCAGTGTTGTTATTAAGTGACACTGAGTTGAGTGGGTGCCAACTCTGAGACCCTGTACAGGGTTTCTGAGGAGTGGCTGATGAGTTTGAACCACCGACCTTGCGGCCCAGTACTTAGGTAGGCTTGCTGGATGAACCAGAGAGCTTCCTTTCCTCTCCCAGACAGAGCGGTTGTGACCTTTGGCACAATGAATGCTGGTAGCAGACAGGCTACTTTTCATCAGTGCCATAATACAACAACCCATACCAGCTGAGCTGATGCTAAAAGTTAGTCCAACTGACTGCTAAACATTTCTATATTAGGTGTAACAGTTCCACGATTTATTTCATTATTATATAAGCAGATGAAATAATGAGTGGCGTAAGAGCCACTTGTATTTCTTTTTTAAACCGAGTTAGAAATGTTTGGGAAGGATTCCATAAAAACAAGTGAAAATCAAACTATGCACGGGCAAGGTGACTTTCAAAGATGGAAAAAAGAAATAGTGAAAAACAAACAAGAATTGCTTCATCAGTGTATTTTAAGCTCTCGTTTTGAGAAATTACTAAGTGCAAGGCCACACCATGTATGCCTTTTGGCTTGTGGCTGTTTTAGGCACTAGTTGAACTGAGCGCTCGCTGTACCTGGGTGCATGACTTTATGAGCCAGCAGCAGGCTAGATAAGATGTTTGGGCTGTTTTGAATCCTATACTAGGAGTCCTGGTGTGGTACTACAGGATAAGCACTTGACTGTTAACCACAAGTTTGGTGGATCAAATCTACCAGCCGCTCCTCAGAAACCCTACACAGGATCTCTAAGAGTTGGAACTCAATGTCAGTTAACAACAGTTCAAAAAGTGTTGCAATACATAATTTTGCATATGATAATAATCATGTGTCAATTTTGCATCTCTAAGATGTGATTCTATAAGGTAAGCACTGTACTGTTAACCACAAGGTCAGCATTTCAAACTCCTTGAAAACCCTATACAGAGTCACTTGAGTTGTGACCAACTTGATGGTATTTAACAACAAGATGTATCCTCAGAGTAGAATTGCTAAATCAAAGGGTGTGTATAGCTTTCATTTTGATGTGGCAGTTGTTATGTGCTGTCCACTCTATCTCAACCCACAGTGACCCTGCATAGGGTTTCCAAGCAGCAGCTGGTGGGTTTGAACCACCAATCTAATGGTTAGTAGTCCAGTACTTATCCTACTCCCTTCTCCAAGATAATACCAACTTATACCTTCACTCACAGACCACAGCCTTCAGTATGGATTGCATCTCAATGCAAAGTAAATAAAAACCCTCACCATTGGATCAATTAACAATATTCTTATCAATGGAGAAAAGTTTGAAGTTGTCAAGG